CAGGAATTCATGAGGTGGGGGAACCCTAAAACTGCTCACTGTGGGGAAAAGACTCATAATTCATAATAATTTCTACTGAGAGTTCCATTAGGTTTTCTTTGTGTACAGGCTGTGATCAGCTGACCTGTTGTTCTTTGTGGATGTACACAAATGAATTCAACAGCATGTCAGTAGTTCTGGCTGATTTCAGGGCTCTACACTGACAGCACACTGTTTATAGTAGACTGTATAAAGTTGGTATGAAGGTGGAATTAGGTCAGTAAGCATCATCAGCTAAAATTCAAATGAATCTCTGCTACACTTCATGTAACCTTACTGTGACCATGAAACCGCAGCCAATGTGCACCAGTCACACACTGCTCTTTAATTTAAACCCATCACACTACAGCAAACTAACCTGTTTATCTTCCATTAACATGCAGAGGATTTTCATGCAACCTTTAAATAACAGTTAGTCTACCTCAGTTTGTTTAGCAGCATGTTTCACAACATGAAAAACTATATAACAATGTCACATGTACAGACCCAATATCTCATTTAAAAACACAAGGACTTACATGTACATTTCCAGTTTATCAGATCCCACTGAGCAGCCCTTACCTTTCAATCTAACCTCTCTTCTTCCTCTACTGTCCTGTCTTTCTTATCTTTCTCCATCTCTGAGTGAAGCTAGCTCTCTTTCATTTCTCTCCCTGTGAAATACAGCAGCTTGACCTTTGGCTGTGACAAATTACACAGGAACAGTTTGCGTGTTTGCTGATGTTTGTTGAGCTGATAAAACGCTGCATTTGATATGACCTGCCACTTAAAAAAAATGTTACTCCCTTTAAGCTCGCTCCTCCAGAATTAAAAAAAACAAAACACCGTCCCACTTTTAACCCCTGACTTTTGCACACGTTATCTCTTTTTATGCGAGAACAGGACTACCTTTCATGTCTTTCTGTTTAGGCTCAAATCGGTTTGATGTTTGAAGGCTCGCAATGATAAAATAATAACTCGACCCAAATGCGTTAAAGCAAAAGTAACGAGGCTGTTTTGAAAATGTCGAAAGTACAGATATTTGTTTAGAAATGTAGGGTGTAAAGGTAATAAGTAGTCAGAAAACAATACTTAAGTACTGATACATGAAAATTGTAGTTAAGTACAGTAACAGAGTATTTGCACTTCGTTTCTTCCCACCTCTGACTTTAAAACAGTAAAAAGGAAAATTCTAGTTATGGGAAAACACATTATTGCCATAATAGGTTTGTTAAATTTTAAACAATGAATAGAAATAAAACAATTAAATTAAATTAAATTGGAACATTTGAGCTCAGCATGGTTGAAATATTCTGGAAAAAAAACCCTCAGAAATATTGGGATTAAAGTTAATATATTCACTGTAAATCAAATCAAAAGGCAAAAGATCAGGTATAAATGCACAATTAATGGCACTTTACATTTTTTATTTATTTAATTTACCCACAAGTAGATAAATTTATATCAGATTTGAATTAGTTAAGACGAATTTGAAACTACTCATTATACCAGAGTAAACATGATATGTCAGATTTTTGTCCGTTTCTGATCATCTGTATCAACTTTATCCTTTGAATTATTATCAGTTTATTACCTGTGGCAAACGTTTTTAAGGGAGATTTATAATAGCAAATTAGGAGAATTATATGTTAAATGAATAGACTATCATTATCTAGAGAAATCCTGAGTTTCATGGATTGAAGTTTCTTAAGAAAACACACATTGCCTCAGATAGTATTAAAAATTGTTGTTTCAAATGTACATTTTGATCTTGGATGTTTTTCTCTCTGGTATATATAATAATTAAAAAACACACACACGTATGAAAAGAGCACCAGCCTACAGTTCGTTTTTAATGGAATACGCTTTTAAGGTGACCCGGAAGTGTTTCTATTTACACCGGATATCGAGCTTGTCAATGTGACCTGCCGTTACTCGCACACAGCTATGTTTTAATAGACGCGATTAGATAAACACTTAGAAAATGTTTCTCACCACAGTAAACTGTAAGTATTTTATTCTCTTAAATCTTGTCTTCAAACAGCACGACGCATGCGTACCTAGAGCTCTCCCAATACGCTGTTGTGGGGTTAGCTGATGCTAAAACGTGAGCTGCTCTTAAAATATACGTCTGTTCATGTGGGCAGTCACTGTGAAATATTTTATAATAAATTTATTTCACACGTTTCAGTGGTTTTGGGTTTTAGAGAGATAGATTTAGCTTCTGGATAGTACAGCAGTATGTGTTCAGTGTCCATTCACTGGGCTTTGTAAGTGCGGAAATCTCAGAAAGCACCTGTGCTACTCGAGAGGTAGTTTTTCTTTTCATTTAGATGTGTAGGAGAGTCTTTGAGTTTTCAGCAGATACTTGCACACAACCTTAACAGCTTTAAGGACTTTCTGGGGCTGGTGTTGGCGTGCTGTTAGCAAGTTTCCACTAAAATCCCGTTGCTCTGAGTGCTGCTGAACGATATCTGTTGGATTCACCTGCATAAGATTCTTTCTTTCTTTCTTTTCTTTTCTTTTTACAGTGGCGAAGGCAAAATCCAAGTAAGTGCACTGGCTGATTCTTTGAAAGTCTAGTCAATAGGCCTCATTCACACATGAAGCATAAGGCTGTGCGTAAACCGTGCATACTGAGGATTTACGCGTAAATTTCTGTTTCATTAAAATAATCTTAACAGAATTTGCACTTCGGAGTACAGATGTACCTTTCCTTTACGTCATGGAAACGAACACGTGATGAAAGCCGGGCTGTCTTAGAGCATTTAAACAAACATCTTTACACTTAATGCTATTACTTATCCACATGTTGGATCCCATCCCTAATCCAACTCTAACCATTTGTCCAAGTCGAGGTCAGGCAGGAGTCTCGTGGGATGTGATGTTTGTAGACGGCATTGTAATCTTTACTGGGAGTAGAAAGCAGATGGAAGAACGTCTGGACAGTTGGAGGTATGCTCTGGAGAAAAGAGGAATGAAAGTCAGTAGAACACGTGTAAGTGAGAGCAAGACAGGTGTAACAGTGAAACTACAAAGAGAAGAGGTGGTGAAGGCAGATGAGTTTAAATACCTGGGCTCAGCCATCCTAAGTAATGGACAGTGCAGAAGAGAGTGCAGGCAGGGTGCAGTGTCAGGGATAATTTCTTATATATCATTTTTTAGCCACAGGGACCAGAAAGTTTACAAGATGATAGGTTCGATGTATGATTTGGAGACAGTGGCACTAACGAACAAAATAGAAGGCTGAGCAGGAGGTGGCATTATTTAAGATGGGAGTGGCCATGATGGACAAGATTAGACATGAGTACATCAGAGGGACGGCTCAAGTTAAGTGGTTTGAAGACAAGGTTAAAGAAGCAAGCCTGAGATGGTTTGAATGGGCAGAGGAAAGCTGGCAAATACACTGGATAAAGGATGTAAAGTATGGAGTTGCCAGGCAGGAAGAAAAAGAGGACTACTACAGAGAAAATTCATAGATGTAATGATGGTGGACCCTAAAGGGAGCAACCAAAAGAAGAAGAGCACTACTAATATGAATTGTTATTATTAGTAGTCATTTCATCTTGGTCATTAGTTACAGGTTTCCAGAATAAGATAAGCAAAAAGTTTCTCAGAATTGAATAACGAACTGTAAGGAATTCAGGGTTTGACATGAGCACAGGGCCGATATAACTGTACGTCAGGCAAGTTGCTTCTCCAGGTGCTGACTTTGTTTCCACCTGTCACAGCAAACTGGTTAAAGCCACCCTCACTGAAGAATATTTTTCTCTTGTTTTGTCATTTTAAAGAAAGCATGTGATATTTCTGAAGCAGAGAGTCTATTATTGTGTGACTATTAAGGTGGTTTCCTCCTGTGACTCTAACCCTTTCTACTTCAGTTGTGCTGATTGCAGGTAGTGCACACAAACCTGACGGGTTAGAATAATCCAGTGCACAAATCCAACGCTAATTTTGTGCAGAGGTTAAGAACATTTCTGCACGTGCACCCGTGAATGAGGCCTGTTGTTAGTGTTTCGTGTTGAAATGGCAGTCACCTCTCTGTGTGTTGCTTACCTGTCAGGACCATCCTGGTGCAGATGGTGAGTGCTGCAGGGACCGGATACTTCTTCAACACAAAGAGGAACCGACTCAGAGACAAACTGGTGCTGCGCAAACACGATCCATTTGGTAAGAGCCGTGTGAGAACAACTATGACACACAAATACTCATTAAAGCAAAATCCATATAACCCAGGATATCTTTTCCTTGTCTGGCTTCACTTATTCAAGCGGCAGCAAGCAGGCTAAGCAGTCACATGAAGGTGTTGGCACTTTAATAAATCGCTACTTGAAAAGTGAACCCAGGGTTTCCCAATCGACCTTTGAGCACACAACAGTATATGATTGTTTTTCTTTTAACTTGGAAACTATTTGTATTTAAACATGTGGTGTGATCAAAACATTCTTCCCAAAGTGAAAAGCCGTACCTGATTCTAAATTTGGCAAACCTCCAGTTCAAGATTATCTTCTCGGGCATATCCAGAAAGCTTCAATCGTTGCTGCTATTTTTAGAGATGTCCTTGGCTGTCCTGTTCTGACCATTTTCACTGCGAGTTTCATCATGACCTCACTGTGCTCACAATTTTGACACACTGGAGGGGATACAAACAAAAGTACAGGGGGACAAATATAATTTGACTTCTGCTGAGTGATCCAAACTGTCCAAGCATAACACCTGGAATAGATTAGTCCAATTTAAAATCAGCTAAGGATTCAAATTTATGGTGGACCTGTTTTCAGAACGTGTTGGTCACACCTTCTGTTCACCCCAGTGGAAAATAAACAAAACCCATATTTGGAGTGACCCTTGACTTCCACCTACTTTCTGCTTTTTGTCTTTTCAGTGAACAAGCACGTCCTGTTTTTTGAGAAGAGGAAGATCAGATCGATTTAACCGCAGCACACCGACACACACAGATGGACAAAATGAACTTGCAGAGGTTTAAAGGCATCGTTTTTATTGCCGGGGATGGTACAGCGGGTTAATCTGGTTGACGTGTTTATCAGAGGATCTTCCTGGATGGATAAAAGTGGAACTCCAGGCTTGAACAAAAGAGACTTGAAACCAGAAAAGTGATGTTATGTAAGGGGACCACCGCTGCCATGATCTGAAGCTGTTCATTGGTTCAAAATAATTATTTAATTGGGTGAATGTACTTTGTGAAACATTTGTTGTGGTTAATTCAAATAAAATAATCTCAATGATTGACTTATCTTTAATGGTAATCAATTTTAAGATATCTTAAGCAGCAAATTTTCATAAGAACATTTAGTGTTGAGTCTTTCTGACCCCATTCAGAATGTGGTCCCTTAACATCAGGGTCTACTGCTACTCTTGGAAGTATTCATTTGGGAGGTCCCGTCTGTACGGAAAAGACGTCTGCGTGCCGATTTCCCGCACGCTCACCCCTGCCACCAGATTGGCTCTGCGGGCCATCTCCTCCAGAGGCATGTGTGGGTGGTTGGCCATGTAAAATGCCAGTGCTCCAATGAAGCTATCACCAGCACCCTGAGAAGAAATAAAACAACAATGCATTGTTAAGGGGACCTTATTTTCAAACAGGTGGCAGTTAAATACAGACAAAATTTCAAGTAATGAGGTCAGCGTATGTGCAGCCAGGTTTAGACAGTTTTTTTTTCTCTTGGCTCTATATTTTACATAGTGACATTTATGAGGGGCAGCCAATCAGAAGAAAGATTGCTCAAGGCAGCATGGAAGAGAGCTAAAACAGGTCATTTCACGCAGAGGATGAACTGAGCTGCACTGTAGCTCAGTATTACATTTCAATATTTTGAACTCTGAATCATGCAAAGCTACTGCAATTGAGTCCAGTATTAAAAAACAGGAATCTAAAAATTAATAAAATCACTCTACAATCTATATGGAACAATATACCAAATAAATTATGCAATTTCAATCCCTTTTATTTCATTTGTTATGCAACCTGGTTAAATAATAAAATACTGGCATCTCGGGCAGATTTCCCCAGATTTCTTTTTGGGGAAAAAATTTGGGTTTTTCATCAGATTTCATTACCACAGATATGTCGCGTACACTCTGGGGCTCCTTCATTAACACCACCCCTCATATCTAAATGTATTAACCTGAACTCTTTTCATTTAAAAGTGTATATACTCATTTTTGGTTCCCTTTTGGTCTGAGCTACTTTTTTTTTTTTATTAGTATAAGCTGTGGATTTTTACCATCTATCATCACTACTTGCTTTTTCTGCCATTTATCCATCGCTGTTAACAATTTAACCTCCTTAGAAATTACTTTTAGCAGTACTACTAATGGCATTTCAGGCTATTTACAGGCCCATAAAAAGGGCCTTAAAAGGTAATAGACTTTTAAAGGTTCAAATTACATCACAGCGTTGGTTTACAGTTTTAAGATTTGCATTAGGTTACTGAACAACTACAGCTTTGTCTAAAAAAGAATTCTTAAAAAGGGAATAATCACCCACAGTATTCATGTTAACTGACAATATTCAGTAAATATTCTGGCATGAAATTATGCTGACACTGACTTGTGTAAGATAGAGAAAAATATATTATTTAATCGAAGAAACATGTTACCTGTCACTTTGTATTAAGTTGTCCCAAATTATCTGAGTGTTTGTTACCAAAGAGCCAGACTTTATGAGAAACTTTCAAAGTTTTTGTTTGGACATTGGCTTCTTTTACTCATTTTCTGTGAATTCCTCGTCATTTTCCGAAGAATGAATATATATTTAAAAAGCCACTTAATAGATCTATGAATCATTCAAACAGGAAAAAGGCTCCTAACTCAAGGGATGAATCACTGTTGTGTCTACACACAACCGACAATTTAACAAAAAAAACTTATTTTAAATTTTATCTTAGTTACTAACAACTTGTAACAAAAACACATAATTTGTTCCCATGTCTTTAGTTGAATCTACAAAAAAGGCCAAACAATAAAAATAAAAATAACTGGGCTCTTAGTTAAAAACATGGCATATATTTGCATGGTGTGTCCAGACTAGACAAGTGGAGGAGAAAAGCAGTAGCATGCATAAAAAGATTCTACAATAGATGAACAGTTAAGCTATATCCTTGAAAAGAAAGCTAGCAAAGACCTTCAGATGATCTGTCAGTGGAACTTAAGGAAGTGAAATGGGAAGAAAACATTGGACTGAAAATCAGAGGGATCAGGTCTTTTGAATTGTATTTCTGTGTATTTTTGCACATGCATCATTCTCAGTGTCAGATTTCTAATTTTCCAGGCAAAATATTAAGAAATGAGCCTAGCTCAAGACTTGCACAGTACCATATTCTTACATCCAGCTGACAGTTTATCAGTTATTAACGGTCTTAATCACTTATTTGTGACAGCTTAATATTCCACTACTTTTATCTTTTAGTCCACTAAACAATGGCTGATTCTTTACAGAAATATTTTATCTATTTATCCATACTTACCCCTAACTGAACCTTTATAATTGTAGCCTGACTTTAAAAGGGGACTACAGCTTTTCTCTACTAAGCATTTTAATATTTTGAAACACATTTTAGTTTTTCACTTCTACTGCTTATTCTTCTATTTTTTTAGCACACATTATTATTATTATTATTATTATTATTATTATTATTATTATTATTATTATTATTTTAATATATATTAGTTGTGTTAATCTTTCCAAGGTCCCCCAGCTACTACTGAAGTAACCTTTTGGAGTAGCTGTAACCCTGGACTATTGTCCCAGTCAACAATTCCTGAAAACATGAAAGCTGGAGGGGAAAAAAGTCAATTTAAAATATTTGGAATTTTTTCAAATATTTTTCCTAAAATGCTTCTTTCTGGGGGGTTTTAAATTATTATTATTTTAGAGAGAACATGAAACACACTTAAAAGACGAGGGGAAGCTTCATGTCTAAATTCACTAAGCTGCCAACAGTAGGGGGTGCTGTGGCATTTTCCAGCTGTTTGACTTGTACTGCTGCCTGCAACTAGTTTGAAATGACTTACTGATTTGCCCTGTGTGAAAGTGTGTCTGTCAACTCTAACAAAACATCAGCATTAAGGGCTTTAATCGGTTTCACGTAAAACCAGCAAAGTCATAAATCTGGCACTCGTGAAATGCCTAAAATGTGATCTGTTTCCCAACATCCTTTAAGGATGTTAAGTGTTTTATCATCTGATCAAATGACTACAGAAAGAAAAGCCAGCTTTCACTAATTGTTTTAAAAAGTCAGCTGAGTAACACGCGGCTGCCTCCTAACCTAACTGCCAGCAGCTCTGGTGTTTGGTTATTACCAGGAGCACATAAATCAAACCCTCATCTATTGATAAAGAAGGAATGTGCTGTGTACGCCCTGGAGGGGTGGTTTGCTGGGACGGGATGTCTAGAAGGGGTTTGTGTGTATGTGTGGGGGGGCTCACTGATGGGAAAAAGCACACTGGTATGTGGCGACATGCTCATGTTTAACCACAAATGGCCCCCCGACGCTGGTTCACACAAGCCCGCTCCATTACTCATCACATCGGCGCTCAAAAGACTTCATTGCACTCTCTACTGAGCATCTCTGTGAGCCTCCCCTGCTCATCCTCCAACTGCAAAGTAACGCTTTTGTCAAAGTGATGATTCAGTGGCATGGCGCAAAAACAAAAACCCCCAGCAACCCCCAAAATAACACTTCTGATTTGACCGTTACTGCACCTCTCCCTCCAGGCTCTTGCCTCTGGTGTGACTCCTGGACGGCAGAGATGCTGGAAAGAGTGAGATCAGAGATGAAACATTTCACAGGCCTGCTGGATTTCCATGTTTAAACCCTTGGCGTGTTTATGTCTCCTGTCTGGTAGCTGGGCTGGGTTACAGTGAAGCCTGCGTTTGGAACTGAAGCTTTGGTGGAGTGGCTCCACTGGTTTGACTCTGGCCCGTCTCCCAGTTAACATGTTGGGGTTGAGATGACTTTTGAGTGGGGATTGATGGTAGCAGCCAAAAGATTATGTGATAGAAACTGGAAGATTGCAGTCTTCATAGTCACAACAATAGATGATTATTTTTTAACCACAGGATGCTTCACATGATGACGTCCCAGTAATCCCTGCAAACACAGCCACCTCTGTCTTGTCACACTACAAAGAGGCTGGAACAAGTTTTAAATGAGCCAAATTCTTTATGAATGAAAAAAAAAGCCTTTAAATGCATTCCTTGACAGACAAAAGTGACGTAAAGTGGACCTATTTCTTTTTTCCTGATTGTTACAAGTGTTACAAAGGACAATAGACCCACAGACTCCCATGTTAAAATGAGAAATAATACTTACAGCCTGGGATGAAATCTGATTTAGTCTCCTATTATAACACATGTACAAAAAGCGGGAAAAAGAATAGATTTTAGGGCAGCTTAAAGCCAGGGGGTGTGGCAGCTTGTTTGACAGGCTTTAGAGTAGGGTTTGACAAACCCATTACATGTGTCACGTATATATATGCTACATGTAAAAACCAACATTTATCTACAGTTCAAGTTACATACATATCCAATATATATCCTACCATTTTAAAGGTAGGATATATACAGGCTTTTTATCTGCTACTGCAGTTTCCAACAAAGGAATAACCTTGGCAACCAAAAACTGCAGTTCCGCCAATGACCACCTGTGGCTGACTCTAAAAGCGAGTCCAACCCATAGACTCCTGTTAAAACGCTCATCTTTACAGCAACAGTAAACATGAATGCAGCCTGGTGCACAAAATTACTTTAGTAGATAAAGCTCTTTTTATGTGGGAAGTTGGCTGTATGGGGCTGAATTTACTTATAATAATTTAGATTTTGTTAGGGGTTAAAGTCAGAGGCACCTGTCTGCTGGTTGGAGGCACTAATTGAAGGCACTGACACAGAGTGTTGAACTGATATAATGCCTTTTTGGAGCATCTTTATTTGAATTATCTGACTAATATCACTTCCTGTGTAGTATAAACAGTCGTAAGAAGTTTTTGCTTCATTTTGGGTGAGTAAAATTGTACAATACTTTATTAGTCTACACATTGAAATACACTGAGGTGTTGCTTGCCTGGTTTTCAATAACCTGCCCTTTGAACCTAACAAGCTCCTTGCCACAGAACACTCAACACTCTTTTTCACAGTAAAGTCAGCCATTCTGACCTGTGACTGAGAAGCTGGCTGTTTAACAGTAGGAGGGATTCATAACGACATGGCCAGAATTATTGGTACCCCTCCAATTTAGAAAGAAAAAAAACACAACTTTCTCTGGTGACAGTGATCATGGTCCACCATTCTGAATGATCCAGAGCTTACATTTTATTTGAAAAAAGGCAACAAATGAAAAGGGCACATGACGTATTTGTAGCATTAATTCAATGAGCAATCCAGCCTCAAAAGCCTGAGGCTTTAAAAAGTAGCTGTGCATGCTTTAAATAACGTCTACGATTCCACTGCACATTTTCAATTTGGTTGCAAGAAAAGAAACGTATAAAATCAAAAGTTTATATGTTTAGCTGAAGTGAAAAACCTCCATGTG